GGTACACGTAAAGGCAGCCTTCTGGGCCAACGTCACAGGCAATGTTGCCGCAGGCATAGTCATCCTCCTCCATCAAAACTCTATGGCAAGCAACCACCTAAAGGTACCTGGCATGACGCCTCAGCGGGTAAATGGATTAGATTAGACTTAACATATAAGGAAGAACATCTATCAATCCTAGGCATTTATGGTCCCAACATCCCACAAGAAAAAAAACACATTTCTGCACACAATAGAAAATCTTATCCGAAGCCACACGCACGCATTCCTTATGGGCAACTGGAACTCAGTATAGGACATATCGCTGGACAGGACTTCCAACTCTAGTGACCCCTTCCAACAATCAAATAGCCTAGAATTATCAGAGTTCATCGAAAGGAAAAATCTAACTGACTCATTCCAGCTGCTCCACCTTGAAAGAAAAAAAAGTTCTCGGACTGTTGGAATAGGAAAGGAAATGGATATGGAGGTAGTTACGGGGTGAAGATGACTTAGGCATGGTAAGAAACGATGGAGGACTGGCATGCGGCCTGAAGGACTGCTCAGAACACACACCCCCCGGTGCCAAGCCCCCCTGGTGGCTGCTCTTCTGCGTGTCTGGGTGCTGCTAGTAAGCCTCCCAGCCAGTAGAATAGCCCCCCAAGGACAGATCAAGGTTGGGAGATGGGCGCTCTGAAGCAGCCGCCCCTTGTTTAGGTGTCTAGTGCCGCAAGGGTTGGGCTGACCCACTCCCTTTATCTTCTCTCTCTGTTACACTTGTGTATACCATGCTTGCCAGTGATAAGCAACAGGACAGATGCCCCCAGAACAGAAGGGGATTGTTGCTGTTCAAAAAGAAAAAAAAAGGGAAAAAAAAAAAGAAAGACGACCCATACTAGAACTTTAGAACTTCATTCTCAAGAATAGACTGCTTCCTCGTATCAGAATCCTTAATAGGTGCTACTCAAAACTGAAGAATTGGAGATTCCCCATACCACAATGGAGCGGATCATAAGGCTATCACCCTCTTCATTAGATTGTCTAAAACAGGCTACTTGGGCAAAAGCTTCTGCCGCTTTAGTAACTCTCTCCTCACCTGTAATTCTTTTCAGAAGGAACTAACTAGCAAAAAAAAAAAAAAAAAAAAAAAAAGCATTCTAACCCAATCAGTGCAAAAATGGGGAAGTGAAGACACCCCAAAAATTATTAAAGAAATCATCCTCCAAGTTGCACAAGAGGAAAGAAAGGGAGGAGATGCTAAAAAATGCGAGAGAAATAGCAGACTGCAACCTACAACTCAACATTAATTCAGAATTCATCTCAAAGCTGTATTCAAAATCCAAACAAGAACTCGAACAACGAACCAAATCGAAACCCCAAGGTCTCCAACTGAGAGTTAAGGTAAGGGATGGGGAACTGAAGGAAAAGATGTCTAAATACTTCTTCCAGAAAATTAAATCCAACTCCAAAAACTCAAAAATCGAAAGCCTCTTAGATTCCAATGGCATACCCACCTCAAAAACCACTCAACTAATCAACATAGCACTAGCAAAATGCTAACCGGTCACCTGGACCGCTCCCTGTCATCTGAAACGGCTAAACTACTAAAAGAACCAATCACCCTAGGAGAGCTATACCAAGCCCTTGAGGATATGAAACCAAATAAAGCTCCGGGCAGAGATCAACTATCTAAAGAATTCTGGCTAGCAAGCTGGCGCATCCTAGGCTCCCTACTCCTAACTTTTCTCAACGAATCATGGACTAGAGAATCTTTAGGCACGGGAGTTGTGACCCTCCACTATAAGAAAGGAGACGAGGAAGACATCACAAATTACAGACCCATATCCTTGCTGAAAATGGCTTACAAAATCCTAGCCAAAGTCCTAGCATGCAGAATCAACCATCTCACAGGAAGATGCTTCCATCTAGACCAGACATGCTTCATCCCAAGCGGACTCATTTTAGACGATGTAATGAACCTAACCGAAGCAAACCAGAATAATAAACCAAAAGAGAATTACAGCCGCTATCCTATTTTTCAACTTCGAAAAAGCCTATGACCAGGTCAACTGGGAGTTCCTACAAATATGCATGGACAAAATGGGTGTAGGCTCAAATTTCCGTAAGTGTGACGCACGAGCAGAGGGCACGTGCGAAGAGAGAGAGAGAGAGAGAGAGAGAGAGAGAGAGAGAGAGAGAGAGAGAGAGAGAGAGAG